GGTTGAATCCAGGCTCAGGCCACCACCTCACCAGCCCAGATCTGCTGGGAGCCCGCATGGCCTCCTTGCTCCCATGGAGACCTGGCTGCAGGCTGGGAGGGTCAGTCCTGATGCCCAGTGCAGGGGAGTAGGGAGCACAGCGCTACTTGGCCAGGCCCATGAGCCACAAGATCTTCACAGGCTCTTAAGTTTCCTGTAGCTGCTGTAAAGAGTACCCCAAGTGATGGCTCACAAGAACAGAAGTTTGTGCCTGCTCAGTTCTGAGGGCGTGAGGGCAGAGTCCGTGGCAGGCCTCTCTGCAGCTCAAGGGGTGCGGCAGTCCTGGGCATTGCTAGGCATGTAGACGCATCGTCTCTCCCAGCTCTGCCCCTGTGGGCACAGTCACGTCACCCTCTCCTCTGTACGTGTCTTCTCCCTTCTTTTCTCTTGTTACAAAGACACTGGTTGGGTTTGGAGCCCACCCTGATTCAGGACGACCTCATCTTGAGATCCTTAGTAAATCCGCAAAGACCCTTTATCCAAATAAGGTCACACCCCCAAGCCATGGGGGTCAGGACCCGGCCATCTCTCTGACAACAGCTGGTCAGCCACAACCTCACTCTCCTCTGACTTTGCTCATTCCCTTCCCTGTACCTCCATCACCATTCGTGACAGAAAGCCTAGGGGATGCTCCTAAGTGTCCCCGCTTCCTCGGTTCTGTACCGTGAAGGGTTCAGCCCCACCACCGCAGCGAGCCAGCAGGAAATGCTACCCTGGTGCCCAGGCTGCTTGGCTCCCTACCTGGGGGCAGGGATATCTGTGACCCTGTGTCCTGGGGGGCAGGCCTCGTCCACAGCTCCTGCCCTTCCTTCAGATGAATCCTCAGGGGGCTGTGATGGGAGGGTGAGAAATCATCAGCACAGCTGCCATCTCCCGGGGGCCTCCACCTGGGAGCTGCCTCTGCACGGGTGGCCCAGGGAGGAGTCAAGGGCCTCACCTCTGTTCAGCACCTGCCAGGGGCCCACACCAAACCACACCCCCATGGGCATTCCCTTCCACATCCTCAAAACAGCCCCTGCCAGAAGAACATATTGCCCCCATTTTACTGATGAGTAGACTGAAGCTCAGAGACGGTGGGTGCCTTGCTCATGATCACACAGCAAGCTGGACTATGAGCCCTTGGTTAGAATGGCCCAGAGCCCTAGCTCTTTCTGCATCTCCGTGGCTTCCTGGCAGACCTTTGCCTCCACCCAGGGTGTTAGATTTGTCTTGGGCCTCTTTCTTCTTTCAGCCCTTCTGCCTCCTGGTCATGTTGACTCAGTTATTGCTACCAGCCTCGTTTGGCCAATGAGGAAGCAAGGCCAGTGGGGCCTGGACATGTGTGTGCCAGGGGGCCAGGAGAGCGAAGGTGTATGCTGAAGTGGGAGGGCCGGGGGATACGGGTGGGCGCGGGCACCGTGGACCTCAGGCCTGCAGACTTGGTGCGTTTCCATTTTCCTCCTGGGCTGTGAGCTCCTCAAGGGCAGGGCTCCTTCCCTTTCCTGTATCTGCAGCCCCTTTTCCAGCACTTAACATGGTCAACACTTGGCATTAATATTTGACACACTGGTGAATGGTACCCACCCCTCCATTCTACAGATGCCGAGAGGTCGTGGTGGGGCAGGACCCACGCCGCTAATAAGTTTTCAGAAAAGACACTTAAAGCAAAGAGTAGAAATGCAGTGAGGGGCTGACTTATTGGCGATGCTGGCCTGAATGCTCTCCCCATTGGCTGTTGCCCAGGTATGCATCGTGCAGAAGCGGGACACGAAGAAAATGTACGCGATGAAGTACATGAGCAAGCAGAAGTGCATCGAGAGGGACGAGGTCCGCAACGTCTTCCGAGAGCTCCAGATCATGCAGGGGCTGGAGCACCCTTTTCTGGTCAATCTGTGGTGAGTGGCTCCTCCCGGTGCCCTGTGAGTCAAATGCAAATAGGGCTTTGCTGGAAGGAATCTTCAGCCTCGTAAAGAGAGAAAGGAATGAAATTTTCTGGGTTCTAATAGTCTCTTGAATGTTTTGTAGAGAACATTTTCTGATGAAATCCACAAGCATATGCTTAATTTTAATTTTAATTCTGGTCTCTTACCTGATGAGTCAGAGTTGGAAATAGACTCAGAAGAGAAGGTTTTGGTAGATCCGAGAAAATGTGGAATGTTATGGGAGAATGCCAGTCTTCTCAGAGGGGGGTTAACATTTTAGAAAGTCACACCCTGAGTGTTGATGGCAGGGACTCAGGGTGGCTGCCCGGAGGGGAGATGCTAAATTCCAAGTTCTGAATCCGGCCCCCAATGCTTGGCCATAGTCCACATTCTGGAATCTTCTCTCCTTTGCATCCCTGGCTATTAAATCTGCATTGTAGAAATGCCACCTGCAGGTGAATCCCGGCTTCTGGGCCTTTGCAGAGACATCTCCCTTCCTCAAACTTCCACCTCCCTGCTTCTGCCAGCGTCCACCAGCCAAATCCTGTACATCTCTTCCACCCAGGTGAGGAGGCACCTGAGCCAGTAAACCACCAACCCACAGGCGGGGTCAGCGCCCACGCTGGGTCCACCTTGCTCTGCGCTTGACCCACCCAACACCACCTTTTCTGCCTTGAACCCAAATCCATCGGTTTACTTATCTGTCCCTGCAAAGAAATCACTTGCTCCTTGAGGATAGAGGCTATTTCTTGGTTCTTGGTTTCTGGGAGTCTAACGCAGCCTCATACATGGTGTGGGCACTTGCTAAATGTTCCCTGAGCTGGATTTCGTTGAAAGGGAGAGAACAGGCTATTCTAGGAAACAAATTCTGTTTCACTCTGCAGCTCGGTTGACTGAGCGTTGATCTTGAGAGCATCACAGGCGACCCCTGATGGGAAAGTCTAGTCTAGCCTGTATTCCTAATACAGAACCACAGCTATTTCAATTGCCCTTCACACTCAGAAGCACCCTGAGCATTGGGTGAAAAAGCGAGGACGGACACCAATTGTCCTGTTTGACAAAATCAAGGCAGGCCTGGCAGATGTCACAGACTTGCTTGCCCATTTCCATGGGGGAAACCAAACTATATGTTACAAACTAGCATCTGAGCAGTAAGTTCAAGTTCCTCATGTCTCTAGGCAGTGAGCCAAATGCTTCAATTGTTTACGGGGAGAAAAAAACCCTTTGTGTTTTGATTACTGCACAAGCAAAATTTTTAAGAGTAAATTCCTAATCAGAAGAGCAAAATACAGAAAATAAAATACATAAGAAGGCATCAATTATCCAGAATCCGACCACCCCTAGGTTGCACTTCAGTGTGTAATTATTTTTGTAGTTCTCTTATACAAATATGACATTGATATAAAAAACATGCATAATAATTTTGTATTCTGCTTCTTCAAATTAATAGTCTGGTAGGAGCATTGTGTCCTGTTATTGCAAACTCTTTGTAAATCATTTTTAATGGCGACATAACATTCCACCAAGGAGAAGTTCAGTAAGACATCTAACCTTTCTCCTGTCATATGGGTTATTTAGGGCTGTTTCCAATTATTTTGCCACTGTAAATAATGCCAAGACATATACCTCAGAGCTTAAACATTTTTGAGTTAGATTTCTAAGAGGGGCAATGGGGTCGGATGTGTGTCGGAGTGTGTGATGTGGGCTGAAGGTGGGGGATGGTGTTGGAAGGCCCCTTCTTCAGCACCATTTTTCAATGCTCTCTTCATGATCTCCAAGACATCAGCGCATGAGTGCGACCCCCTTTGGTAACAGGAAAACACTGGGCAGATAAGAAAACTCTGCAGAGGTTGGGTGCTGATGGCATTGTATTTCCATCGTAAGCAAAAAAGGACTGCCTGATGTTGAAGCCACCTGTCACACTGTGGCCCCAGTTTCTCCACCTGTTAATGGTGAGAATAATGTCCTGTTTACCATTAGGACTGTTTGGAGAATAAATGGAGAGGAAAAGACGTGAAGGTATATTTTCTGTAATGAAAATATTGCTCCCTCCAAGAGATCGTGTGTGAGTGTGATGATAGCCGGGTAATGGTGACGCCCCATCACGCGCTCTCTGAAGAGCACGAGTTCTCAGTTCATTGGTCAGTACTCAGTACTTCACATACTGCATGGCTCAAAATTGACTTAGTTATAGGAGGCAGGAACTTAAATTTGCTCCCCTGAAAAAGGGAATTTCTTGGGTTTTATAACTACAAAGTCAAGCATTCCTGCTGACTTCCATCTCTTTCCGTCTCTCTCCTGCTTTCCCCTGTGTTAGCTTTATTTTCAGAGCCACACCTCACTGGCCACTGGTCGCTCCAATTTCTCCTACTAGCTGAAGAGCCCCAGCCGAGGCCGAAGGTCAGGGATGGGGGTGATTGACTCAGCTCGGGTCATGTGCCTGTTCCTGAAAGCAGTGGGGAAGGGGACAAGAGGTTGGTCCCCACCCCAAGTCTAGGAACAGAAAAAGAGGGAGAGATGGAGGTCTGCAGAGGGAGGCTGGGAGCTGTTTCTGGGAAACAGCAGGGGCTGTGCCCACCACGTCATGGGTACTTGCTACCCACGCCCTGTGTCCTTGTTCGTCCACCACAGCCCTTACCCTGAGGGTGTGGACTCCCTTTCTCAGGAGGAAGAGCGGGGCTCAAAGCAGCTCGTGAGCTCACCTGAATCAATTGAATTTCAGTTACATTGAGACCACCCCACGGTGCGCCGAGGTTTTCAGTTCTTAATAGGGAAGTGACATTAACACATAGTGGGTCCTCGATAAGTGTCTTCTCTGGCTTCTTTAATCATCCTAATGGTCTCTTTAGTTTCCAGTCATCCTAATAATATTGTTGCCATTTTACAGATGGGGTAACTGAGTCACACCCCAGCAAGTGCAGGGAATGGGACCTGAACCCAGGCTGTGTGACTACATGGCCCACGCTCACTGCCCCTCCACTGCAGCTGCTGTGCGAAGGCCCTGGCCTCCCCGGCTCAGCCGCTGCACCCCTTCCTCCCTGCGCGGAGCGCCTGGGCCGGCGTCCGTCTGGCTGCCTTCTCCCCGCTGCTGGCAGGAGCACGGTGAGGCCTTGCTCTGGGTTCATAGGCCCTGCGCTGCTTCACATCAATCACTCATCAGCTTGTTGTCACATGACGCGGAGGGTGAGTTACTGCAGCTTTGGAAACCCTCACCGTGCCCTTCTCATTCTTCTTTTTGCTGACGTGCTCTATGACCGGCAAGGCGAGGGCTGGGCATTGATTAGTTTCCATGGCAATCTTGCCTCTAAAGAATGACTGATGTGTACTCCCAAGCCTGTGATGCTCCGAGGCGTCAAGGGCAATATTTTCCACCTGTTCTTAAGCAAAGAGGTCTTGTGTTCTTGGGTTTACCACAATAATCAGGCAAAAGAAAAAGGAAATGGAAAGTCACAGCCCAGAGGGTGAGGGGGGTGCAGGCGGGAGCCCTGGAGGCCTCGGGGTGGGCCAGGAAGGGAGGGGTGGGGTGCAAGGAAGGGCCCATGCTCTGGCTCTGAGGTCCCGTCTCCCGGGTTCTATGGACAGCTCTGCCTCTTGCAGGCTGTGAGGCTGTTGTGCACTGGATCTGCCCCCCAGAACTCATATCCTGAAGCCGTAACCCCCAGAGTGACTGTATCTGCAGTTCGGGTCTTCAGGTGGTTATCCAGGTTAGGAGGCCGTTAGTGTGGGGCCCTGATGCAAAAGGACTCTGGCCTCCTAAGAAGATGAAGCGGGTCTGTGCCCTGTGAGGCCACAGCAAGAAGGCCCACGCATCAGGAGGAGCGCCCTCCCCGAACCCAGCCGTGCAGGCACCTTGGTCTCAGACTGCTGGGTTCCGGAACTGTGAGAGAAGGAGTTTCTCTTTCTCAGCTGCCCAACCTATGCTACCTTGTTAGGACAGCCTGGGCAGACTAAGACAGAGGCTCTGAGAGCAAATGGCTTGCCCTCTCTGTGTCTCAGCTTCCTTACTTGTAAATAGAAATAAAAGGGTCGATGCGCCATCAGGCTGCTGCAAAGACCACGGGGGTATAAGGCTCACAGGTGCCCGCGAGGTCCTGGGCATGCGCAGCCACCGGGCCGGAGCCTCCATTGCTGCCGCTGTTATTAGCCCTCACCCTTCAGGGGCCGGCTGGATGACCTACTGCTCTGTCCTTCTCTTCTAGCAGTGGACATGGGGACATGCTGGCCCTTGGAAGAGGTGTCTTAAGTTTTGAGGCACTAGACTTTCATCCTGATTAAGTGGGTGGGTAGGCAGGGTAGGTAGTTTATTCACATATTCATACTGTATTTTCAAAATCCATTTCTACTCACCAGATTGGATATATTTACTAGGCTGGCTGTTTAAATGGTTTGTTTGAAATTGAGCAGGTGCCCCCCAGTGCCCAATTTACTGCTGAACTGACTGTGGGGATGAATACCTGGCAGGATAGGATTGAGAACAGATACCTGCAATCAGTTTAAACAGTTCTCATGGCAGTGCCTAGAACTTTCCCAGCGTTAAGACACAGATCTCTGCGTGCCCTTCTGAGCCAAGAAAGAGCCACTTACGTTAGTAGCTGCTTTTTAAAAGGGCTGAGACCTTTGGTTAAAGGGAAACTAGGTAAGGTATTTAAAGGTGAGGCTGCTGAGGCTGAAGCAGGGAGGCAGGAAAGGAGATTGGAAGGAGGAGAGACAAACGGGGAGCTCCCCAGGGACCCTCTGATGAAGGATTACAAGCCCTTATAAATAACCACCAGTTGCTGAGCAGCCTCATTTCCATAAAAACAATCATCTTTGGCCTTGACTATTGCCCCGCCTCCCAATCAGCGTTTCAGTGTTCAGCCACAGTTACTCATCAGCAGTTTGCCTACACAGGGCGTCTTAGCTTGGGCCCCCTTTCAAATTACCATAGCCTGGGTGGCACATGCAACAGAAATTTATTGCTCACAGTCCTGGCG